CGTACACGCACGCACGCACGCACGCAAGCAAGCACGCATATAAGGATTGTTTCGGATCGCGACGTCTTTGTCGCGGAAATGCGAATTCGCACGCTCGAAGTGATATTCATAATACGATGCCATTAATTACTCATTGTCTCTGCGACGGCACTGTTCTGTTAATTCCTTCCTCCTTCTCTCTCTCCCTCTCTCGACCCTTTTTCTCTCTCTCTCTCTCTCTCTCTTCTTCTTCATCGCTCATTCTTATATCGCCTCGCTCACTCGCGAAGGCACGTCACGCATTCGAGCAAATCGTAATAAGATACGCAACGTCGGTACTTGCGACGAGAGGAGTGATACGGCCTCTCTATTATTTTTTCATCCATCCTTATTATGATTTCCTTGCAACGGGAGAGATTGGCGTATCCTTTTTTTACGGGACGCCGGAAACGCGGCGGACAGCGCAGAGGTACACACACACATCCACACGCGCAATTAGAAATAAATTATTCATTAAACCGTTGTAGACCGAACGTGTCCGTAATGTATTAATAATGCGCACCTTGCGTCAACGTGAAAAGATGCGAACATTTCGTTCGCGTGATATTACACGCTAGTGGAACGTGAGTATGTATTGTCGGTCTTTTAATTCGGTCAATTATCGATACACGCTCTCCTTACGCCCGGTAGAACGTAATTAATATAATTTAAACGCCGCGCGCGCGCTCTGTGCGTTTAGCACGGCAGAAAGATATGGAAGAGATAGGTCTATTATTCTTTAAACGATCGAGAATCGTTACATATGTGCGAAAACGAATATACCAAACGAATTTGTGTCATCGTTTTAGGGCTATACACCGTTGCATATCGCCATGCAATTCGGCCATGAGAATATATTCAATCTTTTGGTTCAAGTGTACGGTGAGTATACGCAAGAGTTTCTTCTTTTTCGGAGATTGCTTTTTTAAACGGAAACAATAAAATTGTCACCAATTAAAACAGTAAAAAGTTTCACCAAAGATCAGCGAGTATTTCATTGATCTTCAACGAAAACACAAATTTTGCTCCTCCGTTTCATTTCACTGATTATGATAGTAATATTAATTAGTATTCGAGTTCAGAATTATATACGTATTACACTTCTCTTCACTCTTAAGATGCGATTAAACCTACAAAAAAATGAGCAAGACTCTTGATAAAAATCAGATATTTTTTTAACAAAATATATTACCATAAATTAATCTCAGATATAATATTATATGATATTTTAAGACACATTTTTTTAATATCACTGATTATCAATGATAATATATTGATTTCATTTAAGAGAGCGAGATACGATGGCAAAAAGGCGGTGCGTCGTGATCGTAATGTCTCGCACATTTTTCACATGTTTCTTGAAAATATATTTTCAGGCGCGAATCAGGACATACGTGACTATAGCGGTAGGAAGGCCAGGCAATATTTGGTCTCGCAGGAGGCAGCAGTCAGCCAGGACACGTTCCACAGTAAGTACATTCTTCCTCTCAAAGAAAAAATACGCACCATTTAGGGGTATGTGACGCAACTTTTGTAAATAATTCATAGAGGGTTGCGTTCTCTCTTTCGCGCGCGCGGATATTTTGAGATGTTTCTCGTAATCTTATCTACGATAGATTAACGTCTACGGATCGTAAGTTGTGAATTAGCATCTTCTCTACGAACACTTAATAAAATCGTATGTGGAATATTAATCGCAAGTTTTGTATCATATCGATCTTCTCGTCCGCCTTATAAAATGCTATCGTTTATCCATCAATTCTCTATCTCGTTTAAGAGGAAATAGTATAATTTATTCTCTTAAGCTGAATCAGTGAAAATGTCACTGATTAAAGCAGCGATAAAATTTTCAACTAATAAGTTCATTCATCATCAATGAAAACACTCACACGTTGCTTCTCCATCTTTATTGATTATAGCAGTCAAATTTGATATAATCAAAATTCAAATTCAAAATTATATGCATATTATATTTCTTTATTCTTAAGATATGATATATCTACGCAAAAAGATTAATAAGACTCAGTTTTTTTAACAGAATATATTGTTATGAATTTATCTCATATATTTATAATATAAAACGCATTTAAAAATATCATTGAATAATTAAAATTAAAATTAAATTAAAATATAATTGAAACTAATAAAATACTTAAAATTAAAATAAGATTGAAACAGCCACTACTACTAATTGATTTTTCTCGGTGAGATTTCATTGTTTGCATTATTATACTTATAACTGAAACCATTGTTTATCAGTGATAATACATCGATTCCATTTAAGAGAGTATATTGACTGAAAAGAAAAGATTTCACTAGAAAGTTTTGTAAATTATTCGCTCCTTTCCCACATCTTCCAATTTGCGACGAAATTGCAGTAGCAAAGTTAATTCTGGGAACATCGAAATCTTCTTTCTTTTCACTTATTAACGATCGAGAGATATTTCGTTCTGTATATATATTATAGAAACAGGCTGTATACGAAGAAAGTAGTTTGCATAACAAGTAGTTTGAAAACAAAAGACATAATCGTCGTCTGGAAAAAAAAAAAGAAGTTTTTAAAGGAATTCTTTCCGTGTGTGCCTTCAACTCCTCCGCTCGCGGAAAACCAATTACGCTCCGAAGTACACTGTAATTTACGCCGCTTGTAAGTGTGTCCCGTCAAAGTTCCGTTGCTTTCCGCCCCGTATATCCCGTGTCGATCATTGTTCAACGTTCTCCACGCTCGTTTCGCGGCATTCGCCTCCTGTCACGCTCCAGCACAATCCAGTCGATGGCTATTCTGCTTAATCTATACGAGAGAATTGCATGATATCTAGTACTAGTTCTTGTGCGAGCTAATGCCGATTCAGATAAATCAAATAATAAGATCAGATATACTTTTTAGAGATAGATAGACTTTAATTTTTCATTGTAATTTCTGGTGTATACTAAACTCTTTGCACGTCTATCTCAGCACCTCTTCGTCTCTCTCAGTATTATATAATTAACTCTCAGCAGCATGCGACAATACTGCGATCGACAATACTGCTCCCTCGGGATTTCTAGGATACCTTTCTGTCGCTTTAGATTTAAGGTACGTAGACCGGTCGGGAAATATGACGCGATATATTTGAATTGCCGGAATGGAAATGGTGTTAACGGGCTCTCCTAGGTAAGTACTTCGGGGTTCTGGAAGTATTCTTCTGTTGTAGGGATTACTGCTGCCGCTACGCTCAGGCAAGTTCAGAAGCGCACCTCCGCTAAAGTAGTAAAGCGCTTGTGCCGTCAGATTAAAGTACGTAGGCGCACCTCTTAGAGTAACGTATGACTGTCACTTTTCTGCACATCTCTCTGACGTGAGTATCTTGAAGTTTCACGGGCCTCCCTGCGCGAACTGTGCTCTTAGAGATTCGTTCGAGGATATCGTTCGCAAAATTAAAAAGCGTATTCGAGTACGAATCTGTTTAACTTCTGGCATTTTACAAGCAACAGGAGTCTTCGCCTATTATTTTGTCACTCTAAATATGTCTGAAATGTGTCGAAAGTGTTAAAATGTTTAGCTTTGACGTACTTACTCTAAGAATAATATAACTGTATTGTCCTGTATAGAAATACATGTTTTTACCCCTTTTAGATATCACTGAAAAAAGGTTTGGTAATAGCTACTAAATGATTTGGATAAATAGTGCTAAAAATTTTAAACCTTGTAGTAGCAGTTACTAAAAGATTTAATCGAGTAAACAAATTCAATTCAGAGAACTTAAATTTAATTGGACTCGACTATAAATTTGTTTTATTCAACTAAACTTTAATAACTGTTACCAAATTTTAATAGCTACAAATATTTAATAAGTATTACCAAATATTTGGTAACTATTATCAAATCATATTTAGAGACAGTTCGTTCTGGATTTGAACAATATTTTTTTAAATCCCTCATAAAATATTGTTGTATTTATACAATATTTGAATATGCATTTTTTCATATTTTATCATATAAAATTGAAATAAGTTGCTTTTAGTGATAGTTAATGAATATCTGATAAAGTTGAATTGAATGATTTAGTAATACTTATCCTATATTTGACTACAGTCATCGAGTCGGATATTAAATATTTAATAATTGTTACTAAATTATTTATTTGATTCAATTAGAAACAAAATTTATTTATAATTGAACTCATTAAATATTTAATATTAACTATTT